TAACGCTGTCAGCCCGGCAGAGCAGGGGCTCGTGACTTCCCGAGATCGAGAAGCATTAGAGGAATGGTCGTACCTATCCCGAAGGCTTGCAGCAGACCAACTTCTCTCAATCCTTCCCGTCTCGGTTTGGTTTTCACGAACAAGGTTCGGTATATATATTTTTTATTCATGCACATCTATATATGCGTTTATTTGTTTATTTATTATCAAATATATATGTCTACATATATTTATCATGCTGTTATTATTATTATTATCATTATTTTATGCGTATGTGTGTGTATACACGATATATATACATATCTATATATATATATATATATGTATTCGAAACGAAATTGAAGGTAGGATTACCTGGGGACGGCGCAGAGTGTAGGCCTAGAAACGTTATCGACTGGAGAGATCGATTCTTCTGCTTCTCCGCTCCCTGCCGAGCTTCTCGACTTTGCGATTCTCATTGTTCGCTTCATCCTAATTTTATCTATTCTATCCATTACAACATTTGTGTCTCTTACCTTTACATTTTTTACAAAAGAAATTCGCAAGCCCGAGCATCCGCTAGGCTTTTTCACTCTAAGTAATTTTACAAGCCTACGTTAATCCCACGACTAGGCCCAAATCTTGCCTAATTTAATATTACTATTAGGCCCAAGAAGAAAACCTGTTCCTTCCACCTTCCTACTTAAGTGCTTTCCCACTTTAATAAAGTTGCGGCGTGGCTTTTTCAAATTGCCGATCTACTCCACCGCTTTTTCAGAAAATTTCTTTCGGTTCAATCGGATATGAGAATCGAGTCGCTGATCGAATTCCGGCTCTTACGAAGTCGCGTCCCGGCGTTAAGCGGAGGTCAGGCAGTCGTGAGGTCAGATCTGTCTTCCCATGCGGTACGGCTCGGCAGTTGGATTTGAGGGTGACGGAGGCTAGCTCGGCGTTAGAGGTCGCCTCTTTCTGGCGACGTCGGGCAGGTCGACATTTGACGGTGAGGTCGGTCACAACAGTTGCGGCTGTGGTTGAGCGTCGAGCTCTGCGACAAAGGTCGGGTACCTCGAGGTTGCGAGATCGAAAAAGTCGGTTGTGGTTTTTGAGACTCGTAGATGGTCGAGGTAGCGAGTTCGGCCGCCGAGCTCGGCGTCTGACGAGGTAGCGAGTTCGGCGCCTAAAGCCTCAGATGAACGGTGAGTCGGGCTTCCAGCGGCTAACTATACGTCTGAGTCGCTTAGAATCGAGGATGACGGGGATGGCGAGGTCGGCAATTTGTAGTGTAGGTCGGAGGTCGGCGCAGCGTGATGATGGCCCGGCGTCGGTGGTGTTGGTGTAGGCGCCGATTGCGATTTGAAGTTCGTTTGGGGATGAGGAGGCGAGATCGGCTGCCGACGGTGTGAGATCGAGTTCGGCCCCGGTGGCTACGGTGGCGGTCCCGGCTGGTTGGCAAGTTCGGCCCCGGTGGTTTGGTTGTACTTGATGTAAAGTCGGCGATGGGCCATAAGGACAGGTACGTCGAGGTCGGCACGCCGAGGTTGGAGTTCGGCTCTGAAAGTCGTCGGTGAACGTCGAGAGCGGGCCCCGGTTAGTCGTCGGCTCGACAGTTGTCGGCTCTGCGATGGTGGTGCTGACCGGTTATCGTGGCGTTGGAGTCCGGAATTGAGGACGAGGCCGGCTCGTCACCTGAGGTTGGGGTCAGAGAATTCGTGTCCCGGGCTGAGTTTGGGGTTGACGAAGTGGACTGTGCATCTGTTGAGAGATCGGCGTCAGAAAAATTTTAGGCCCTTGCTGCCATTGAAGTGGTCGGTCACGGTGGCCGTTTTCAGCCCGGCTGTGGGAGCGTCCACGATGGCGAGGTCGGCACCGACCGTGAGTTGGGCAGTCCGGGACACGGATGGTCAACCGGCGGCTTGAGGTCGGCCAACTGAAGTGAGGGTGGCGTCAGCCCGGCTCCAATGGTATGTCGGGCCGGACTTCGGCATGGAGTTGCGCTCAACCTGTTGTGCTGTGCGGGCTCGGCACTTGCAGTTGTGGTCGGAGACTGGATACGGCTAGGTGGCCAGTTGTGGTGAAGGTGCCGTTTTCTGAATTCTGTAGCGAGCAGCCCGGCACCTATGGTGTGTCGGGCCGGACTACAATGTAGAGTCGGCTCTGAGCCTTCTGGACTATTATTCTTCCCTTCTCTTNTTATTACTATTATTTTTTATATTGTTATCATTACTATCTAACGTGGGTCAACTGTAGCCAAGTGGACAAGTGGTATTGCTTCCATTTTTTATTTAGCCACAAAGAAAAAGAAAATAAAAAAAGAATGGGAAATGAAGAACAATCGTGAAATTGCAGAGAGAGTTCAAGGTAACGAAATAGAAAGAAATTTTGTGTGGATTCTATTTGTTTCAAGACTCAAAATTGTAGATTATCATGTACCCAAAATTCATGACAAGAAGAGAACAAAAGGGAATGAGGATTTTTGAGGCAATTTCTTCTTTTCATGTTCGAATGAATATTTTTACATTTTGTGATTTATTCTTTTGTAACTCGAAAATGGGATCAGAGGGGATGAAAAATTAAAGTAGGAACATGGGGTTCTTACCAAGCTTTGAGGGAATATTTTCCGGTGAAAATGTAGCCGTTTCCGGCGAAAATTGACTCCGAGCAAATTACGGAGCCCTTCCTCTAGCGCCAAACTGTTGATGTCGAAAATCGGACGATCAACCGTCAAATGTAATACGAATTGCTTGTATAAAAATGAAGAACAAAATTGATGGAAAATGATATTTTTTTATTATGTTTTTAGGTAGAAGGTGAAAAAATGGAGAGAGCCATCCAACCTCCCCTACTCTCTCTCTTTTCCTTGTATTATGTGGGAGAAGAAGAAATGAAGTCCCCTCCTTTTTTCTCTCCACTCTTACCTATTTATACATGCCCCCTTCCCTTTACAAAATGGGTCATGGAAAAATAAAGGTTGTACATTATTACTTAATAAGAAATAATCGTCGTGGGACCCAGTTATGACTTTTGACAGTAGCCTTCTCGAAAATTGTCATGTCGAGCGGGGCGGTTTATCGATGATATGCGGGTCATCCGACTACTTTGAACTCTGTTCGGTTTGGCAACGGGCGGACTCGATATCGAGGGATCTTGATTGGCTTTCGGACCGCTAGTCTTGAAAACCCGTCTGTATATTTATTTAACCTATATTTTCGACTTCTTGATTGTCGGGCCATATTTTGTTATTTTATTTATCATTTAATTAATTGGAGCCAAATTGGGTATCAACAGAGCTCAAACCACACAAGACATGGGAGGGATCAGGGGAGCATTGCCTAAATAAATCAAATGAATTTCTTCCCAACCATGGTATGGTTTTTTGGGTTCAAACTTTCATTTTCTTGAGTATGTAGTTCGATATGAATCGAAATAGCTCACAAAGGAATATGGCACTTTTTGAATAAGTACAAACTCTAAATTCATTCTTCGACTGAATGGAGATTATTAAAAATGCTCGTGGCAACTCAATTAATTGATTTATTTTTCATATATCAAGCAGCCAAAGTGATTACATATTTTATAGCCATGACAAACCATAATTGTTAACTAATTATAAAATAATCATATTTCGATGGTGTCACACGTTTTGATATTTAATTAATAAAATTAAACCTAGCAATATTACTACAGTAACTATAAAATTTTCGAGTCGTGAAAAATCTAATTTGTGAAACGTGGAGCAGAAAGTGGCATTTTAGTGAACTTGTTGACAATAGCAAAGTTGTCACTATCATGATTCTCATAGATGGAAGTTATGATATATATCCCTAGAGATTGTCCAACAGCAGCACAAAAAGTGGAAAGTAACATTACTGTATTATAAAAATAAAAAGAGGTAATTAATCACCAAGCGTTTGTAGTCCAACGGTTAGGATAATTGCCTTCCAAGCAATAGACCCGGGTTCGACTCCCGGCAAACGCATACTACTTTTTTTTCCGTGAAACACTTTGAGTGCGCCCTAATTTGGAACTTAATGAAATTTTGAAGCTTTTGGAATTACATGGTATTCTTCAAAATATTTTTCTTTTAATTTTTCTATAGGAGAGTTTGATATCCAATTTTGAAAGCATTTGCAAAAGAAAGCAATTTTTTCACATTTTGTGTTAGATAGCGGATTTCTTCTGTTGAGTTAATTTGTAGAGAGACCCTCTCGTATGTTTTAGTTTTATTCTTTTTGTTTCATTCTATTGGTTTATATTGTAATCCCAGAGTGAAGTGTGTAATTCGTACTTTGTATGTTTTGGTTAAACATNCATTTTATTGTCATATAACAATGGAAATTAACAGTTACATTTTCATTTAACTAATTGTAATAGTATTTTTTAACTATATTTTCATATAATAATTACTACTAATAATAGCTAGTTACAAATTTTGTATGGAAGTTACACATTTATAAAAACAATTATAACAAAAACATTCAAGCTATTTATTTTAAATCAATATTACTTTTTAGTTTTATCTCATTAGGCGATTTTCTTAATTAGCTAATTGATTTTAATGCCATAATCAATCTCTTAAAATTACGTAAATATTTCTTATAATAATAAACATATTTAATATTTTTGAACTAATTAATTGATCATAATCCCTTAAATTTGTAAGATTATAATATCCATCACATTTTATGCAATTTATATAATAATTAATATATAAGTAAAATAATTCATAATTATAAATATTTTTTATAATAATAAAAATATTTAATACTTTTGAACTAATTAATTGCTCAGAATCCCTCAAATTTGTAAAAATTATATTATCCATCACATTTTGTGCAATTTATATAGCAATTAATATATATGTAAAATAATTTATAATTATAATGATCATATTTATAATATGAGATATACTCATTTAAATGCCTAAAAGTCAAAAGTAAACTAGTAATCGATCTTGTCTAAAAGTCAAAAGTAAACTACTATCCGACATAATGTAGTACGGAAAAAACCTGTAAATGGTAACCTTTGACATTATTGAAAAAAAATGCTTCTAGTGGCTGTTAAGTGTTATCGTGATTTTATTACAAAGTAAACCAACAATATCAACATAATGAAACGCCATACAAACTTATTACATGATCATTAACATTCAACATGCACAATTCAAGAAGTGCGACTTCACCTAATAATTAATGACAACAAAAACATCATGACATTTGTAATTCTAAATGTAAAATCATCCACAAACGATTTGTCCGTCAAAGCCAACAATATTAAAGTCTCTGGAAGGTTTCAAGGAAATATATCTCTAAAAAGTTACAGCAGTAAAAAAATCACACACCATGTCACCATCTACCATTTCATATGCTCACTAAACTGAAAACCTTAGCTCAATACGAAAAAAAATCCCTTCACTCAAGCCTTCTACTCGAATGGCCCTAAGATGGCACTGCACATTTGACAAGAAACGCATAAGCTCTCAACTACATTACAACAATTATGTCTTAAATATAAGAGTTCTATAACATGTGCGTTGATCATGCAAACAAGGCAATTGCAAAAAATCACGCAATGGTGAAGATGAAGATGAACAATACAAATAAAAAACCAACTTACTGTATGTGGATGTATCAATCTGCTCAGGAAGCTCTTTAATATCAACTTCAAACCTCTCCTGAACCTGTGGTTGACACAAACTTTGAGTGACATCACAAAAGCTAAAAAAGTTGGGAAAATTATTGATAGTGATTAATGAAAAGTACAAAACCTGATTAAGAACATCCGAATCAGATGCTGAAGAAACAAATGTTATAGCAAGCCCTTTCGTGCCAAACCTTCCTGCTCTGCCCACCTAAAACATTGAATGGCAAAGTCGAGGTGAAGCTATAAGATCATCTACCAAATTTTATTGAAGGGGAAAAGTGGAAAGTGGGTGTGGTGTGGAAAGAAGGAACACTTACTCTGTGCAAGTAAGTGTCAGCAGAATCTGGCATGTCATAGTTAATCACAATGTTCACTCGTTCAATGTCAATTCCTCTGCCAACCAGATCTGTTGCTACTAGAATCCTCTTATGCCCCTCTTTGAATCCCTTGTACCGAGTTAATCTGTATTCCCACAGTGAAGAATATTTGAGTCGCATAAAGAAATAACAACTCGCCATCAGTCTTTACTTCTTGAAATTATTCAAGCCACATAAATATAAATCATATCAGTAGGAGTTCGCAAAAATAGACATCAGCCAGTTGCAACACCAATTGATTTAACCAAACCCAAATACATTATTCCATCATTCAGACATTCAAGATAAATGGGAATAAAAACTCGCAATCAGTCTTTACTTGAAATTTTGCAAGCCACAGAGATATGGAGTTCACAGAAATAGATATCTGCCTGTTACAACACCAATGTGGATTTCACCAAACCCAAATACATTATACCATAATTTATTATAAATGGAATACTTGTACTTGTCAGCATGTAAACAATCAACCAGTAACTAGAAAGGGAGGGAAAAAAAAAAAAGCACAAACCTTTCTTCCTGGGACATGCCAGAGTGGATGCATATAGACGGAAAATTACACTCAACAAGCAACTTATTCAGCTCGGCCGCTCTACTGACGCTTTTGACAAAGATGACAACTTGGTTGAAATCCAGTGCATCAAGCAGATCATTCAGCTTCCGATTTTTTTCTATCTCACTCAGTTTGATGTAGTGCTGTCATAAAGGCAATATAAATGAGCTAGAAGTGTTGCACAAAAGACCAACACAGTGAATTCAAATTTCAATATACCCAACCTGCACAAGACCATGGAGGGTCAACTTGGCCTCATCATCGACATATATTTCCATAGGCTGAAAGATAAAAATGTCATAGTAAAGCACATTAGGAGCCCATCGAAGCTTATAATGGTATCCAATTAACGAATGACGTCAAAAAATCCCCATTTCGAGGCAGCGGTTCATCGGAATCAACTCCAAGCAGATGTTTTGCCTATCATACCAACTTAACAGCAACCACCGTGGTTTGAACTACACATTTGTGATTGGTATCTAAAGACAGCCTTAACAATCTATAGGAGGGATCTATCCATTATTCTAAAGAGAAAACAGCAAAATTGACAGACAGAAAGGACCAAAACTCCTATCGAACTTCCAAACTTCCTATACTCACTTCCCCTACTGAACCTGAGTTGAACAATCACTCAGTTGGAAAAATGAACACATAACAAGGCAAGTACACAGACCATCAACCACTGCATTCTTGACCCAGTGCCGCCTTCAGAAATCAGGAATAAGAACAAGATAGACTTCTAAAAATCAAGGACTGGCCACAGGACATTACATCTTGCATAAATTTCTTGCAGACGGGTCGAATCTCCTTGCTCAGGGTAGCAGAAAACATCATAACTTGCTTGTCATGCGGTGTCATCTTGAAGATCTCCTGCACATCCCTCCTCATATCTACAGTTTCAAAAAAGGAGGGAAAGCTAATCAGAAATCTGATAAATTATTGGATAGGTAGCAATCATGAACGAGATACTCTATTGACAAGGTTTACCAAGAGACTCAAGCATCTTGTCACACTCATCCAGAATGAAATGCCTCACATTCCTAAGGGATAGTTCCTTGTCTCTTGCCAGAGCAAGTATCCTCCCAGGTGTTCCAACAACAATGTGAGGGCATTCATTCTTTAGAAGATCTCTGTGGATTTTAATGTTGACACCACCATAGAAAACAGCAACTTTGATATCTGGCAAGTATGTGCTGAACCTTTCAAATTCATGACAAATCTGCAAGAAGCGGATAGGACAACATGAAAAGAAGTGTAAGTAAAAGTACATGAGGATATAAAAAGACGCGTGTTTACAACTACTTCACGTTCTGAAGATTAAGCAAAATGTGAATTAATTACATGCCTGGTAAGCTAATTCTCTAGTATGGCACAAAACAAGAGCAGCAACTTGTCCAGAAACAGGTTCAATCTGCTGCAGTGTTGAAAGAACAAACACAGCTGTCTTCCCCATACCAGATTTTGCTTGGCAGATGACGTCCATTCCCAGAATAGCTTGAGGTATGCACTCGTGTTGAACTAATGAAGAACCAAATCAATTCACCCGAGGAAGCCTCAAATTCAATTAAAAAGTTTTTACCATTCAAAACTTCTCCAAGGTAGAGTAAAATAATGATTTACCTGAGATACATAAGATACCACTGTAGTAAGTTGTCTGTTACATGACTATTATTTACTTGAATTGTAAAAGGAAAAGGATAGGAAGCAATTTCAAGAGATCTGTGCCTTAAAAAAAATCTAAATAGTACTAGAATACATTGTCATGTAGAGTTAAAAAATACCAAAAGATAAATACTAAAAGCATACGGTAACTTATAAAAAAATGAAGAAGAAGGATTGATGGTCAACAGAAGCAGGAAGCATTAGTTACATAATCAATTATGACAAAAATGAAATTACCACTATTTTGAAACAATTGGTCTTATGTTAGGCTGCCTAATCGTTAGGAAGTCATATACTCTTCCAACAATTTTGCGTATTATCATACTCAAATGTCACACTTCAAAAAATATAAACAAAGGTATATCATTTCATAGTGCAAGTATGCATTTATTGAAGAAAAGTATGGTTGCGTAATGGTTATGCAGCCTAATAGGAGCATTTATGTTTTCGAAAGATTAGCATAAACAAACTAAATGCAAGAGCTTTGTTATACTACAAAATTAAGTAGGATGATTCTGATAATCTACAAATAACAAATATTATGTGAACTCATATATAAAATAATAGTGGTAATATATAATTCTAAAACTACATTTAATGGTTAGGCCACAGCAAGGTAAGAAACTAGATAGAATGCATATAGTAATCACAGAATACGGCATAAAGATGCCTTCATAAGCAAGTCAAATCAATCAAAAATCATCCGGCACAAACCATTTGATTTCACCTCAAAAATTGTATATCATATCAGGACTAATAGCACCAAAAAAAAAGAGTTGAAATTCACATCTGGCCGAGCCATAACACAGGCAAATTAATAAATATATAAATGCTTGCCTTCTGATGGATGTTCAAATCCAGAGTCCACGATGGCACGTAAAAGCTCTGGCTTTAAGAGAAAATCTCTGAATCCGGAACTGTGTATCCCAACATAACCCCTGAAACAAAACAAGAACATTGTGCCCTCTCAATTATCTAGTTTGACAAAAAGTCTATTTGTATTCAATATGTATATTGTACCGGGTATAGTTTGGGGGTAAAAGTTTGATTTGTTCTATTAACCCCTTTAATAATTAAAGGGTCTTTCGGTTTTATTCATATCCTGATCAAAAACTTTATTTATGAAAAGGATTTAATCCTTTACCTCTCAACAAGAAATTCGAGAAAAATATACGTATTCTCATGATTTGCATCCACAAGTCACTTAAAAATTGCAAAATTGGATTATGAAATCGCGAAATAGAATTTAGTTATTTTTTATATTAGACCACATCTAACAGAAAGAACCATAAAACTGTATAGTAAAAAATAAAAAATAAATATCTCCCAAATCTTAGAAATTAGACTCAACAAACTTCTTATGAGAACTCAATACACCAAAGTCAGGAACAGCACAGGGAAAGCTGTACACAACTCATGGAAGTAACCCAATACGTCATCTATTTTAGCATATGCATATCTGAATTTAAAGGTAAACAGCTAGGGTTCAATTCAAGTTCGACAACTAAAAAAATAAAAAAGATTAATGTTTCAAAGTTGGAATCCTAGTAAGAACTAGTAAAAGAAAAAAAAACTAATACATGCAAATAAATGAAAAATTCTACGGAAAATAGTAGCAAAATCTCTCAATAAACGGCAACACCAGTAAGGACTACGGAACTCACTTCTTGACGGACTCGCCGTTAACTTTGGCACCGACTGAGTCAGGGGCTTTTTCTTCTTCCTCCTCGTAGTCGAGAAGCTCTTCTTCGTAGGCATCGTTCTCCTTGGTCTCACCCATCTGCTACAGCTGCCTTTTTTTCAGTACGATATAACAGATCAATAAAAACAAGATTCAGTTTTTCGAGTTTTTTTCGAAATCGAACGACATATTTCATCCATAAACCCAATCAATGCAACCAAATTGTCACAGATGTAAAATGAAACAGGTAAAGACGCATCCTTCACCTGCTTAATCGTAAAGATACGGGAAGGGTTAAAGCGGATCTTAGGGCTAGGGTTCCGAAATTCTGCAGAGAGGAGTGTTAGGAGAAGATATTAATAGAGCCGGTGAAGGAGAAAAAGATAGGGTTCGGGTGAAGAGGAGTGCTGTGGAAATAGCTTCTGTTGACTGTTATGCCCTTGGGCCAACGCCCGATTTTCATCATGTTTGAAAGATTTGTTCCGTTGACCTTCTACGGTCAAGTAACTTTTGTAGCTACATATCGTGTACCTTTGTTTGACTCAAAAATGAATATCAATCAATTGTACCAAAAAATAAATAAATAAATATCAATCATTAAATTCAAGATATGAGGAAATACGCGCCTTGACGGCCTTAGAGCATCTCCAACCAGTTTATTAGTTTTTACAGTAAAATTCCACTAGTTTTACAATTTCAACAGTGTCAGCAACTCCAACTCATTCCCTCTATAATTCTCCTCTAAAAAAATATTTCAAGCATATTCTTTTCTAATTTTATTAATTTATTAAATAATCTCTACAAATTACATTTTAATACATTATGCTTGCTAAAATATACATATCTATGAATATATTTTAATTGTTGATTAATAAAATTAATTAATAACTTAAATAAAAATTATAAAATTACACACTGCACCATAAAACTAAAATAACATTAATTTTTCCACAAATGTGGATTACATCACAAACATTAATTTAAAAAAAAAAAAAAACATCAACACAAACATGAAACATTAAATACAATAAGAACTACGTAAAACAAAATTCAACATTAGTTATTGCCATGAGAATATTTTTCCCACAAATGTGCAACCAATGCATTACGAAGTTCATAGTGAGCAGATTTATCCTTGATTCGTTTGTGTCGAGCAAGAAATTGTTGAAAAGAGACGTGATCTCGCGGTGCTGGTGTAATCGTAGGAGCACCAAATTGAACATCACTTCTAATTGGCGCGCTAAGATCACGTTGCTCTTCGACATTCATATTGTGCAAAATAATACATGATTTCATTATATCATTAAGCACCTCTTTTTTCCAAAAACGAACAGGACCCGCGACGATTGCAAACTTTTTTTGCAGAACTCCAAATGCACGCTCAACATCTTTTCTACATGCCTCTTGTCTCATTTTAAAGTATTCCTCCATTGGATTTGATGGTGCAACAAAAGACTGAACAATAGTGGACCACTTTGGATATATACCATCTGCTAAATAATAGCCCATATTAAACTGTTTACCTTAAATGGTGTAATTAGCTGGTAGAGCGATACCTTCAGCAAGATTTGACATTATAGGTGATGCTTCCAACACATTAATGTCATTATTCGCACCTGGCATACCAAAATATGCGTGTCATATCCATAGATCATAATCTGCCACAACTTTCAAAATAATTGTTGGCTTTCCGGAACGTCCAGCATATTGACCAGCCCATGCCTTAGGGCAATTCTCCCATTCCCATTGCATGCAGTCCAAGTTACCTAACATACCTTGAAAACCACGTTGTTCACCAATATGAAGCAATCTAGCGATATCATCGTGATTTGGTGATCTCAGATATTGTGCTCCGAAAACTTCAACGATTCCACGGCAGAATCTCTTTACGCATTCACTGGCTGTTGACTCAGCAATCTTAAGATATTCATCGACACCATCTGCTGGGGTTCTATAGGCCAACTGACGAAGCCTCGTTGTCCCTTTTGTATATGTTGATAATCCAAGTCGACCAAGACCATCCCGACGTTGCTGGAAAAAATTATCATGACAATGCCCGCATAACACGTTTGAAATTATGAATAGAAATCTGAAACCTTCAACGAAATGTATCTTCATCATAGGTTGGACTACTACTAAAATAATCTCGAAACAGAGTGCGATGGGCCTCCTCCCGATCATGATGGACTATTCTATGTCCTGGAACAGAACCTCCCCAAGTTGGTTGGCTACTTGCGCAGAGAGAGCATGTGCCGTAAAAAAATTGTTGGTTTGCAATATATGAGTGGTGGTTGATTCCAAAGTGTTATAAAAAAGAGGTAATGAAGCATTTGCATCTTCCTCATCAGAATCATAATTATAAGGAGGAAGATAATTCATTGTGAATGATATTAGAGGGGAATATTACAGAAATATTTGATAATGAATGTAATATGTAGTGTTTGTCCCATTTTTGCTACGTTTTTCGTGTCTGTTTTCTCGTTCTGTTTCCCCCCATTTTGAGTCATTTATGTGGTTCTAGAGTCGTTTTGTCGTTTATTTCGTGTTTCGCGTCTTTGTGAGTATTCCTGTGTTTTTCGTGTGTTTTTCCGGTTTCTTTCGTTTTTCTTTCATTTTTGGTGTGTAGGTCGAACGTTTCGGGAGGACCGGATTTCAAGCAAAAAATTAGTCAGGCAAGCGTAATAAGATAGAGAAGTTCGTTGCGAGCACACAGGAAAAAACGGAACTAAATTCTGATACCAGACGAGCCCGAACGACTCCGAAACGTGATGTCCCAGGTCCAGCCCCAGGTTACCGCGCCCGCTCCGCGCCGCGTTACCTGCCGCGACCCCGACTGAAGCATATGTTCCCGCACT